GCGGAACTGGGGATTGAACTCAGGCCGTTGTGCTTGTCGCGTAAGCGCTTATTCTACTGAGCCATCTCCCCGGCCCCTAAATACATTAAAAAATAAATAAAATAAAGTTTTTATTGGTACATCTTAGGTGCATACAATAACGTTCATTACAGGGAGTCTTCGCCTACACGATACATCCTGCTGCTTCTTTTTCTTCTCATTCCTTGCCCCTCCCTTCAACACACTGCCCTCCTCATTTACAAAAACACTTCCTTCGTCTATTTCTCCTGGTCCCTTCCTTCCTTTCCCCCTCTCTCTCTTGTTTCCCTTCCCATTCGATCACTGTCATCCCCCAAGGTTCACCTCATTTCCACAGGTATTACTTGCAAGTTCCTGAATGTGCTTCAGCAAGCACCTTGAAATCTACAGGAAATACCTTCAGAGCTAAGACACCCGGCGGAGTTCACACAGCAACAATACAGCGGCCAGTAAGAGCTCAAGTGGCTTCCTAAGCAACATGATTTTTCAGTTTTCACCCTTAAGATTTAGGTTTGCTTTAGGCCAACATCACAGGGTACCCGCGGCATGAACGAGCTCTGCCTCCCAGAGGGGCTGGATGATGTACTTCCTGCCACTTCAGAATCTGCCCAACACTTTATTGTCCTACTTTCTATCATAGCCATCCGAACAGATGGTGAAGTGGTGTATCACTAGATTTTGATTTATAGTTCCCTGATTTTTTTTTTCTCCGAATGCCTTCAGGGCAGGTTTGGCTGGCTTGAGTTGTGGGGATCGAACCACAGCAACCTGAGCCTGACAGTTTTGTTGAAGCAGCCACTTAAAGAACTGAGCTAAGGGGCAGGTCCCCTCCCTGATGATTAGTGATACTAAATATCTTCCTGTGAGCCTATTATTGTTGACTAGTAAGAGTCTGTCATGCGATAACTTGCAAATATTTTCTTCCACTCTGTAGGCTGTTTTTTTAACTTAATTGATGGTATCTTTGAAGCACAAAGTTTATTTTATTTATCTATTTATTTATTTGTTTATTTCTGCATTTTAGGGAAGGGTCTACAGGGTGTTCAGGGTTTCACTACTAGATCTGACTCGTAGCAATCTGCCTGTTAACAGCCTCTCAAGAGCTGGGATTACAGGCATGCACCACCATTCCCAGTCTCAATCTCTGGCTCAGTGCCCCAGGGGTGGGGTCGGCATGGCAGCCTGGGGATCAAACCTCCAGCTCCTGAGCCTGCTTGCAGTTGCTTTAATCCCTGAGCTATTTGGCTGGCCCCTAAGTTTATAAAGTTGATGGAATCCAATTATCTTTTTTGTCACTTCTGTTTTTGCTATCATACCAAGCCGTTCCTTAGTCCAAGGTCATGAAGATTTACTTGGGTTTTCTTCTCATAGTTTTATAGTGTTAGCTCTTACATTTAGGTTTATTTTGAGATAGCTTTTGTGTGTGGTGTGGGGTAGGGGTCCCAGCTTCATTCCTTTACATGTGGATTTACAACTGTCTAAAGACCATCTGTTGAACTTGGAGTGATTTTAATGTGCACTTCCAGTTCAGAACCATTAAATTTTTGCCAGGCCTGGTGGGCATGCCTGTAATCCCAGCACCTGGGAGGCCATGACAGAAGGATCACTGTGAGTTGAAGGCCAGCCTAGGCTACACAGTAAGTTCAAGACCAGCCTGAACTACATCAAGACCTTGTCTAAATACAAATAAAGCAAAGCAGCATCAAATTCTAATCCAACACCTTCGTTTTCAGAAAAGCAAATTCAAGCCCACAAAGACTGCATTAGTTTGTGTTTAGAATAAAGATACAGAGGAGAACACTTGATTGTATCTTTTTCTTTAGAATTCCTATATCTAGTACAGGAGCTGCACATGAAAATGCAGGATGTTCAAGATACGAAGTTAAGTGGCATCACCAGGAAGGGAATGAGTAAGCTCTGTACCTCATTATTTAAGCTAAGACCCAGCAAAGGGCTCAGGCTATGCATGAGGTCAGGAAAGCTCATTTACAAAAGCTTCTAGACAAGAACACTGTGGAAGAGGCAGAAGAGGCAATCAGGAAGGAGACCTTAAGAACAGAAGGGGATGACAGGAGAGGCAGCTGAGGCAGAGTTGGAGCCAAACTAGTGAGGACTGGGGCCAGGGAGACAGCTCAGTAGAATAAGCGCTTCCCTGGCAAGCGCAAGGGCCTGAGTTCAATCCCCAGTTCCGCCAAAAAAAAAAAAAAAACAAAACAAAACAAAACAAAAAACTAGCGAGGACTAAAGACTAAGCTGACTTCTTCCTTCCAGGGTAGGCAATGGGTTCTTATCACAAGAGGCTGAAGCCCCCACATCTGTGCTTTAGAGGTGTGGTCACTGGTAGTGTATAGTCTGGAAGAGGCATTCAGGTGATCTTCAAAGTAGCTCATGACACGAGGCTCAGAAGCACAGCCCTCGGCTGAAGCCAGGGCTCAGATGCAGCGGGTGGACGCACGCCTTTGCCTAAAACAGCGCTTCTCACACATCTTGCACTTGCCTGTGGGTTTGAGGAGGAGCTGGACACAAGTTCTCTAGGGGGTGCCCCAACCCAGTCACCTCCAGGGCTCAGCCATGAAGACACACCCAGTTATGTTCCTCACTGACCCCAGAGAACATTTGGTTTAGCAATCCATGCCTACATTAGAATGATAATGCGGAGGGGAGAAGACAGCATGCATTCCCAGGATGACTCCCCAAGTAGGGTTGCAGGGGCTGCTCTGGTGGAGGGAGGACACAGAGCAAGCTAATCCCTCGGGCTGCTGCGACGGGGATCCTGGCCCCCAGAGTGCTGACAACACTTTTGCTGAACTTGCGACTCTGAGCAGCTCACACCGCCCGCTCCCCGCCTCTCACAGTAATAATAAAAACACATAGTCTCTCAGAACATCTGGTGAGCGGCCTTTTCTTCCTAGCTGTAGCTGTGGCAGGTAAACTGGCCACTTGTGTCTGAGAAGCAACGCTCTTTTAAACTTCCTGAAGTTGAGGACTCACGTACTAGCCAGATCTGTTATTGATTTTACTTACCTTAAACGGACAGCTGTCTATAGATTCTTATAAGATTAAGAAGATGTTCTAGTATAGTATTCTGCTTCCTTTTGGACTTCGTTCGCCCAAGTCTTACTCCAGCTATACCTTCCCTGAGGGACAGGGCTCTGCACCTATCTCATTTACCTTACTAATCCAGGACTACCAAGGCTCCTGGCCTACCAGGTGTGTTCTAAGTGAGAATTACACAGATTTTCCAGTGGCAAGACCTATATCTCTCAGCTTTTCTCGGCTCCACATACCTGTAGGGCCCTGAGCCAGGTTTAGCTCCAAAAGGGCTTATCCAGAGGTGAGGAATAAAGGCAGGAAGGAGCCTGAAAACAGACCTCTGAGGGCTGCAAAAAAGATCTGTTTTGAGGCCTGGACTTGAATTCCTGCCGGTCTTATCACAAGCCCCATGTCGTCTAGCAGCTAGGTATGCCTGTGCTTGTCCTTCTACAAATCTTGTGCACTTGGCATTCTCTTGGGTGCCAGGCAGGGAACATTCACATTCTACTTATTAATTTTTTTTTCCTTATAAACAAAAACAATGTTGTATTGCTTCTTTCCTACAATTGAAGCTAAGGTTCTATAAGAAAACATGAAGCTCAATTCAGAAGACTTGATTGATTTTGCTCCTTCCCCGGGAGTGTGACAGCAGGAAGGCCTTTCCAGCTTTGCAATCTGAGGGTTCAGGAAGCCATGAAAGCTCCCGCGAGCCAACAATCTTCATCATTTGCTTGCGTTGGAAATCTACAAGTGAATTTCAGAAGGATAAGCAATCTGTTACAAGACCAGGAAGCTATTCAAGGCCAAGATTAGGTGGCTGTTTTTCTTGGTTTCAGCTACAGAGATCAACACCAATTCCTCTGATAGGACAAGAATTATACTTTCAGCCGTTACTGACAACGGCAAATGCCACAAAGACATTCACAGGGAACAGGAATTAGAGCTGCAGAACAGGGAACGGAGCAGGCAATTCTCACAGATGTTAGTAGTGTCAGTGTCACAGTTTATCGTACTCGATCCTTTGAGAACATCAAGGCCAACATCCAAGACAAGGAGGGCATCCCCCTGACCAGCAGAGGCGGATCTTTGCTGGCAAGCAGCTGGAAGATGGGCGCACCCTGCCCAACTACAACATCCAGGAGGAGTCCACCCTGCACCTGGTGCTCCGTCTGAGGGGTTTGTGCTGCCCCTATCTTTCTAGCTTTCAACAAGTTCCACTGCACTCTAATAAAGTTCTTGCATTCCACAAAAAAAGAAAGAAAGAAAGAAAGAAAGAAAGAAAGAAAGAAAGAAAGAAAGAAAATTGCACTCTGCTGGGTCCATCGCAGCCTCAGAATCTGGTCTTGCCCCAGTAAAGAGCTGCTTGTTTTGACTTCAGGGTGACTTTTACCTGGAAAGAAAGCTGCCATTGCTCTCAGACCCCGGGGACACTTGGATTATGATCACACTCGTGAGAAGCGCATTTGTATTCACGAAAATAATTTTAGCAAGGATGTGTGAAATAAAAGAATGAGATAATGTCCTGAAACATGCAAAAACACTAGACAGCTCTTAAGCTAATCCACCAAGGAGCCCTGGCAGCAAGGGTGGTTGGCAGAGAGGCTCATGTGTAGAGCTCATGTGTGTCCCTCCAGGAACGTAGGCCAGGCCTTCTTGTCTATGTGGACCAGACCCTCATAGTCTGAGTCTGAGCGCGACATCATGACAAATACCAAGCAACTGACAGGTACCCTCAAGAAACTTAAAGGCTGACCAGAGAAGCGGCTTATATACAAAGAGGAGTGAAGGCAGAAAAGTGAGAGAGATAAACAGAAAAGCTAAAGAAACAGAAGCTGAAGTGTTAAAAGAAACACATAGCAAATCAATTCACCCTGGAGGGAGGGGGCAGGCATATAGCTCAGAGGCAGCTCCTGCCTGGCAAGCACGAGGTCCCAAGTGTGACTCGAGGTACACACAGACAAACACGGACAAACACGCTCGGGGGCACTGTGCTGGGTGGGGGGTGGGACAGGTGGAGAACACAAGGGAAATAGGAGACACTCTTTATTCTTAATTGGTAATAAGACAAATAAATCTGCGACAATCCATCTCGGAGGCTTTCAACACGGGAACTTAGAAGTAGGAAACCTGGAGCTTATATAGACTTTGATGTAAATGCAGCCTTAAGCACTTTTGTCTTCTTCTTTTAGGTGCTCTGACACCTTCTCCCTTTCAGAAATAGCAGCATATTAATTCTCTGTTAAATCTGCTCTCGAGATGTGCGCTTACGTCTGGCATGACTTTATCCCTGTGTCACCTGGTCTTGCCCCCATGCTCCGGGTCCTTCCGGCAACCCCCACCTATATTTCAGCACATTTGCTCTCACAAATTTAGCGTTAGCTTAAGTCACTAGCTATATTTAGAACGTGCCCTCACCCCCCTCTGAAGCGCAGAGATGAGTGTGGGAATGGATGTGTCTTGTTTGTGAAGAAAAGCGCCCATTTGCAAGCCGGGAGTTTCAGTGCGCCCTTGCTGTACCGGATCATGGCTTTGCCAGATACAGGGTAAGATGAAAAGTCCACAGTGATGGGAAAACACACAGACGGCATTCTTCATTTTGCTATGTGAGCTCCCCACACAGTGTGTCATGTGGAATTCGTGTGGGCTCTTATTTACTATATCACAAAAGCTGGGCTTCGTGTATTTTTAGGCTGGGGGAAAGCAAAAAAAAAAAACAGGCTGCTTTTATGTAAGTCAAATGTCACATCGGAAAATGATGCTCTGGAATGTTTCGAGAACATTCCAATGTTTGATCCATTGGAAAATAGGACCGTCCTTCACAACACATCAGTCAGGTAGATTTAATAAAAAGAAAAAGACTTCCGGTTGGAGACTGAGCTATGAGGAACAGCAGAAGGAAATCCACCGGCTGTCCGGAGGTCACCCTTACCTGAGACACCAAGGAAGACAGTCTCACTCCTGTCCTATTCTTTATAGATAATGCCTTGCACAGTCCAACTCAGCCCACGTACGCTCCCGTCAGGGGAAAAGTATTTCTTTCTCTTGCCATATGTGGGAGTCCCCCCCCCACTTCTCCATTATCTTTCCACTCTCATGGGTGTGTATCCCCTTGAAAGTTGCTTCAGTATGTAAAAAATTTGTTTTAAAAATAGTTGTTAAAAGAACTAGCAGAGGATTGGAGCAGTAGCTCCTAATTCCCTCTTTGTAATTTTCCAGGCATTAAAAAGAACTGGTCAGTTAGGAGACAGCTAATTCTATAGACTAGCTGGGCAGAGGCGTAGGATGAAACACAGACACAGGAGCTGAGGAGCCTTCTCCCCCGTTCTCAGAACTGCGGCTCTGCACGAAACCTGCAGGCGAGCTCTACTTCTGGCCCACATACGCGTGCAGCTCTCAGAGTCAGGCAGGCCAGGGCTACGCTCACTGGGACGTAAATGAACCAGGGAGCTGCACCCTCTTCCCGGTCCCCAGGCAAGTGGTGTCTTGTATGTGACACCATGCAATAAACATTATGGAAAGGAAGAGACAGGAGGAAAAAATAAATCAAGAGAATGAAATAGCTAGACAGTAACTGGCACCGGCATCTACTGGATTCCTGGTATTTGTCGGGCAGATGCACCCTCTAGGCAAAACTGCCCACGTCAGAGTTCTTTTTCAAGCTTCCTTTGAAAGATCAGTTCTGGGGACAGAACCAATGAGAAAGATCTTGCTCCTGGTAGTAAAGTTTTACATTACAAAACTTCAGCTCAAAGGAGAAATGCAGAGAAATTGACAGATCATGGCAAAGAACTGAACACATGTAAGGGTATTTAATTTACTATAAACATACACATATCTTAAAGGTGTCTCACCAAAAAGACAGCCCTGTGACCGGCGAGATAGCTCAGCTGTCTAAAGCACCTGCTTAGGCAAGCTTAGGGAAGCACAGCCAGGGCGGGCTGAGCCGGCCACAAAACTAAAATAAAATAAAATAAAAATAAGTAATAAGGCAGTCCTTCAATAAAGGAGATTACTCAATAAAATGTGTTTAATGCCATTGGGTGACCATGTGAGAGAAATAAGTAAAGCCATACTCTTCTTGCATTTCTTACAACAAAATTCATTTCAGATGAGTTGGGTTTTCCAACTGCAAAAAGACGTAAGACAAAGCGAAGTGAACGTGAGCACATCAATAACCTCAAAGAGGCCAGTTTCTTTCTACACAGGAACACAAGACCCAAGCTCCAACAGTAAACAGGAAAAGCATTTCCAGCACTGATAGGAAGGGCTGACCCCCTCCATCTAGAGAGACACTGTGAGTTTCACCCCTCACAGCCGCAGAGCTTTGGGAAGCCCTGGGAAGACACCTGCAGAGATTCTGAGGAAGGGAGTGTCTCCGAGATGCAACATTCCCGTGGATTTGGCAATGCTTATTAAAATCCAGAAAACACAGATCTCAGCAACCCCCGGGCCACAAAGAATTTAGTTCATACTCCCACAGCCTGAAGTTCTGTTCCAAGGTCAAGCTTTGAGAACAAGCAGTTTTATCCGCAGTTCATCTTTCACACTGTAATCAGGCTCAAACCCACATCCCGCCTGTAACTGCTCCTCTGGGTACCTGCTGATCCCCTCGGAGCCAAATCAAACAGGCACCTTACAGACCCCGTGTCATTGTGGCCACCTGTGACCTGCATCCTTTCTCCCAGGAATCTTACATTGTGGGGGCAGGGTGGTGTCCTATCACCTTTCGAAAATGTTTCTACCACTCAGACTGGGTGTTTAAAGTAACAATGAATGAATGAATGAATGAATGAATGAATGAATGAATGAATGAATGATATATAAATGAGATAAACTAGCTAACTGGGCATTTTTTGGTTTTTTCTTTGTTTGGTTGGTTTTTTGTTTTTGTTTTTGTTTTTGTTTTTTTTTGTTTGTTTTTTGTTTTGTTTTTTGTTTTTTGTTTTTTTTGGTGGAACTAGGGATTGAATTCAGGCCCCTGTGCTTGCCAGGGAAGCGCTTATTCTACTGAGCCATTTCCCTGGCCCCCAATAACTGGGCATATTAGTGGGCAGCTTAGAGGCAGGAATGGCTACTTTACATAGGTGAAAAGTTAAAAGAGAAAGGCAAAATTTTTCAGCACATATAAAGTGCTAGTACATATAAAGTGATTCTTGGACATAAAAATTATTTTCAAAAATTTTTAAGTTTGAAGTTAGCTTTCATAATTTATTTTTTAAGTTAAGACAGCAACCTGAGTAGACAATAATGAATTTGATGAATGTAGCAGGTTGGGTAGGGATTTGATGAAACCAAAACCTCTTATTGAACTTAGGAGACTGGCTTGTTAAATAACACTGTTCCTGTAAACAGGCAGGCCGGATTTATTGTGCCCCTGGGAAAGTCTCTGGAATGAGCGCAGAAAATGCTTCTGCTGATTAGCCTTTCTAGCTCGCGGCTGAGTGCCGACCTGACATGGAAGGCTCTGCCCTCCAGATTTTACATAACGTGGCGCCCTGATCAATTCCTGTCAGGAGTCTGTCCCTCCAGGGACGTAGGCCAGGCCAGCGCTTCTGTCCCGGCCCTACTCCCAGGGCTCGGGAGAGCCTGCCGGGAAGAAGCTGAGCTCTCACACCTGCTTGAACGCTAGAGTGACCGTTTTTTGAAATGGGAGGCAAATACAGAGAAAAGGATTTTTGAAAAGCACAGTGGGAATTAATAAAGCTAACAAGTATATTGACACATATTCAGATTTTTTTAAAAAAGAAAACTGAGTTCATAGATGTGTGACAAAGGTCCCAAGGTCCCAAGGAAACTGTAGCAAACCCCACAGCACCGAAACTTTCCCTCCCCTGTCCCCCACGTTGGCTCAGCAGCAGGATGCCAGCCCTCCCCAGAGGCAGCTCTGAACACTGTGACACTCCTCTACCGGGGACCAAGGCCACGGGATGCTCATTTAGAGCTGGTAACAGAAGCCTCTGTCGGCACGCAGGGCTCATTCACCCAAGCTTTGGGATGCTTCCAGTACAGATTTTAAACAACAATGCAGAACAGGAAAGGGAGGCAAGAGAACCAAGAACCGTGAGAATAAAGTCATGCTAAAGCTAGAACTTTTTAGCGAATATACAAAACATGGTAGAATGTGAGCACAC